TCTACTCGTTAAGAGTGATACTGACCGTTAAAGTATTGCACAACTTTAATTGTTGTACATGATATATGACAGAACGTCAAAGTTTACTTTGCAGTATTTTACTGCAGAAGTGAAATTTGTTCGGTTCTGTCTACTGTCTGTACAAGGATTGTCGTTGTGTGATAAATCTTTGCTGCATATTCACTCATACATTGAGGAAAAGGTAGAATTTCTCTTTTGTGACAGTAGGTTTCGTCCCAATACAACACCATACCGTGTCTTCTCGGGTGAATCACGTCTTGTAAGATCTGATGTTTTCTTGTGAAATCTTGTAATAAGATCTTACGATATCATCTTACAAGATCTTGTTATCTGATTCTTGGACCTGGGTCTTTTTAGCTTCAGGTAACAGCATTGTAGCTCGAAGAAAGGTATCATTTACGCCAATTTGCACCTTGAACAGCCATCTGAACAGTGTCGCCTGAAGAAAAAAATTTCTCTTTAACAATATATCTTCTCTCCCAAGAATTGCTCAGCTCTGGTAACGAATCTAATGAATATTTAATGACAAGATGCTTTCTTCCACTTTGCCTCCCAAAATAGTTGAGAACAAAATTTTTCTCTCACTTTTCGTCAATGAGAAAAATAGCTCACCATTATCATTATCATTTAGTTATCGTCTTGAAATTATGATGGTAGATAATGTTGTATTCTCCTACTTCTATGGTTTTCTTCAAAAAAATTTTACATCTCTCCTGCTTTTTTCTCGCACCACGGCAGTGCATCTGAAGGTAAAACGAAACAACCAGATAATAATTTCCAAAAATGGCCGCTTTGGACTACATGAAGTAACCATTTAATACGGAACAGTTGCTACACCCATAATACTGCAACATATTTTTACTTATATTTAAAATTTCTGTGACATGGCACAATAAACAAGATGACCAAACGGATCGCTACGATCAACGCGTTTCTCCGTATATAATCAAGTGAACGCATTGATCTTAGCGCTGCGGTTGATCACCTGGACAATAAACAACCATGGGTAGATGTCTCTACTTTGATTTGCTTAATTATACGATTCTACAGTCTTCCAAATACTTTCTATGATTTTATCTTCATAAATATACTAACCCAAACCTTTTATAACTTAAATATAATTTCAGCTTATTTTCTTCGGCACTGCACAAATGTAAGACAGGAAGATGTCGTTCATTCCTGATTATACTAGACAAAAAACATTTAGTATTTGAGAATGTAATCGACAACAATAAAACGGCAATATCGCAGAAATCGTTGTGAGTTTTAAATTTAAAAAAAACATACCGATCGTATATATAATCTTTTTCTATTGGTTTTATTTTGGTGCGATGAAGAAGAAATTGCCTCTTTATATTTCTTTGTTTAGATTGTTGTGAATTTGTTGATCACTTAATTGGATGATTTTCCTTTGTTCTGAAAAAGTGGATTTAAACTGTCAGTCAAGTGTGCCATTCTCCTAAAAATATAAGCTGTTATTTACTGAAGTAGGTGGAAGTCATCTACTTTCTTAAGCTACAAGACGCTAAAGCGGCTGAAATATGAAACTGAAGGTTTTGCCGCATACTATACGTACACTGCTATCAAACTGTATATTTAGTGTGCAGTTTGTGAAGAAAAACCCAATATGAGAATAAAAAGGCTTTGCTATTAAAAGATTTTTTTCGAAAAACACGTACACACATTCACACTTATGCACACACAGACATCTCATATTCCATGGAGAAGAGAAATTACAAATTTTGTTTAACATACAAAAGTAGAGTTCGTGTGTATTTCGATAGATTGATCACATCGTCACCCTTGTTCACACCTACTGTATAAAATATGATTAGTCTGTAGAGGTGTTGTCTAATTAAGTACAAATACTTATTTCGTATTTGTTAATGTTTTCAATTAATGTACATTCTATACTTCACTTTGGTGACAACACTGGATTGCTTGTTTCTGTAGAGTAAATCGCTGGATGAAATTATTTGTTTATACCCATTTCCATATTTGATCGTGTTGATTCTGAGCTTTTTTGGTTGATTGAATGATCGTTAAGTGTAGATGTTGTTAATCATTTTCTTTTAATCACCTTTGAACGAACTTGACATGTTGATTGATAGTCACCAGATACATTTATCATCAATTTTGACTCCATCGAGATATGATCCAATGATCAAAGTTCATTCCATAAAACGAAAGCTTATGCAATTGTACCGAACAGCGATCCTCATGGATTATAAAGGAGTAGTAACCTCACCTTATACTATTGCTTGAATAGTAGCTGTAGAGTGAGTCAACAATCTAATGAATCAATCATTAATTGTAAGCTTCGATCTGTTTGTATACGATTTAACACACTAAATCCATATCCACCTTCGGTAAAATTTATGATAGATCAGACATTCATTTAATAACAATGAAATATTTTGATAGTTGAACATTTTTATAGCATTGAGTTTGCTGTTTGGTGTAATTAGATGAATGATTTTCAGAATATTTTTCTTGAACGTTTTTTACCATTTCTACTCACAATCCTTTGCTATTTGTATTAGTACAAGACGTGTTGACAGCAAAACATAAATCCAAATTTTAGAGTACACAATCGGTTTTTCGTTGTATATAGTGGAATGTTCATTTATTTTTCAGAGGGTACCGTATATTTTGTTTACACGAGTACATTTCGCCATTTAAAACGCTGATGGTCGCAGACAGCTTAAATGATCTAACGTCTTTGTCTCCCAAAGTAATTATACAGATATAATCTGTTAGTTACATTTTTTATTTTAGAAATTTAAAATGATAAGTGATGAACAACTCTGGTCGTAGAAGCGCTGTCATGTACATAGCTGCAAACAGCTAGTTTCCAGTTTCTTTTTCTTTTCATCTGTCTTCAATGTACTGGTTGTTATAAACAGTCATTTATTTGTTTATTTTAGAATTCTGTAAAAATAACTGGTTATACATTTAAGAAAGAATGAATCCAAGTATGGAGCCACAGGCTTACGGAGCAGGTCGCGCAGGTTCAGTCTTTGATCCGATTGAATTTTTGAAAAAACCTCAAGTTATTTTGCGTCTTGTCGCCTGGGTATGTAAAGTACACACTATCAGTCAAAGCTATGATTTTACGTTTTTTTACCAAATTTTATTTTACAGGTATTTGCTATTATTGTATTTGCTTGTATTGCTCAGGTAAAAATGGATTCTCAGGGTGATTATGAAGACTAAATTTCCTTTCATTTGTTCATTAGGAAGGCTATTACAAAGATGAGTGTCGATATAATGCATCGAATGCTTGTGGCTTTGGTATTGCTATTGGAGTTATTGCTTTCTTGCTTTGTATGGTGTTTAGTGCACTTGATGTTTATTTTCCAAATTTATCCAATATCAAGCATCGAAAATATGTTGTTCTAGCTGAACTAATTGTATCAGGTACTCTTTTAAAAATCTTTTAGAATATGTTCAAAGTTTAAAATGTATCCGGACCTTTTAGGTGTCCTTGTCTTTTTCTGGTTTATTGCATTTTGTTACATGGCTGATCAATGGCGTCAAGCTACCAAAGTAGCAGAAGGATGGAATGGACAAAATAGTGTTCAAGCTGCGATTGCATTTGCCTTTTTTTCTATTGCTGTTTGGGTAAGCTCTTTGGTTCCATGTTTAAAAGTCAGTCGCAAATGAGTACAACGTGTAATAGCAATCAGTCAAATTATCTGATAACGAAAGCCCGTTTCTTCGAACATCAGGTTTTGCTCTTATTATTTAACATATGTGAGAGTGTGAGGGGTCTCGTATCGATCTAATTACTTTCCGTCATATATTAATTTAAAACGTTTTTTTACGTCAGTCTATTGCTTTAAGTTTTATTTGATAAATAAATCCTTCGGAAAGAATAAAACTTATATGAAAAACAGAACATAAAAAATATACCAAAAAAATTACTACCGATAACATTGAGGCGGTAATTTTAGTTTAGAATACTATAATGGAATATTTTTCCGTTTGTAATTTGAAAGAATAAAACTTATAAGAATTCTTCGAAATTTTTTTCATTATATCTTGATCCGATTTCTATTTAGGCTGCATTGATCTTTTTTGCATTTCGCCGTTATCGCGAAGGTGTTTCCAATTTATTCAGTTCGGGTTACGAAGATCATACGAATAATCCGGTTGGTGGCCAAGGACAAACACATCCATCGTATCCAGGATTTACAGGTGCTGGTGGCACAAGTTCAGGTGAGTTTTGACTTTCGTTGTTGAAGAGTGAAATTTAATTTATGTTATTCGTCTTTAAGGCTTTCAACAGCCTCCATTCACGGCAACACAACAAACATCAAATTATCAACCACCAACATACTAAATAAAACCAAATATCTTTTATCTCTGAAAATTATCGTATATTTTCTTTTTCTTGAATGTTGTCTTATATTCTTTGAAAAAATCCAAATTGTTGTTGTTTATGGTGAAATTTTCTTTTTCAGTCATTTGATCTTTATTCATTTAACCATGACGTTGTTCTGTCTCAACAGTGATTCTTTTGTGCACGCGACTTCTTTCTCATGCTTTCCCTGACTGTTTTTTACACGTTTAATGTAGAGAATCTCAGCAATCGAATCTATTTAGGATCTGGTTTTCTTAAAATTTTTAAACTTCTAAATTTCAAACTAAGCTTTAATAGAATAAGCCAAGCCCGGTCGTTTGAACAAAAATTTTTACTTCCGTTTTTTTTTTCGAAAAATATTTGAGTCAAACAAAATTTTTCTTTCAAAATTCCGCAAGGTCAGATCTCAATTGTATTCAAACTAGAAGAATGATCTCATTAGTCTTAGTTAATAATTTGTCAAATGAAGTTTTTTTTGACGTCATATTTGTTGTTTGTATTTTTGAATAATCTACGTACGTTTGTTTTTATAATTATTCTGATTTTTTGTGCGTATTTAATATTGTACACTTATCTTTTTTTGTTGCAATACATTCCTCACCCCAACAGTAGCTCTTTATTTCACTATTTCAACCTGCTTTGTTCTATTTTTGAGCACACGTGTTTCACCATTTATTTTTGTCGTTGATTGTTCATTCAATATTATTCATTAATGGAATAAATGATTATAATAGAACACAAACTACACATTGTAAACCAAGACAGGTGCACTTTGGTCAGAGAAAATGATATATGGAATAATAGGTCTATAATCAAAACTGAAGCGATGCTAACGGCAAATTAGTTCAGGAGACATCAATGTCTTTGGATGTATAATAATATTAAATTTTAGAGGTAGGATCAAACGTGGGGCTTAGCTTCGGAAGATTAAGATGGTAAGGAGCTTATAGACGATATCAGTATTGAGCAAGGTAACGAAGCGCTGTCGAACGATTATGAAAATTAATGTTATTGTTGTTTCCCTAAGATTAAGCAGGATAAAATGCTCGTAATTGTCACTTATAATGCTGAAAACTCTATTTCGTTTCATTTAGGTTAATCTTAAAGTAGAACGAGCGAAGAACCCACGAAACAATTTTTTTATTAAAATATGCTCAGCATTATATTCTAAATTTGAACTTTAGTGTAATTATTTCATTTCCACTTCATACACGTTTCGTAATACTAAAAAACGTCTAAAAAAGAGAAGTTAAACTAATTTTATTTGACAGATTAATGATACAAAGGCATTTTTCGATTTTGGTCGAAATAACATTTGAATGTTTGATAAAGTAGATTAATATATTATGTAAATAAATGACCGTTTTCTCTCCAACAGGTTACTTCTGATTATTGCAAATATTTGCGTTGCCAAGGTTCGTGTTTCCAATACGAAGTTCCGTCTAAATCATGCTGAAATTGATCGTCTACATAGTTCACTAATGACAATTCACTATAGATTATCCTGCGTTATTGTGGTGCTAGCAGAAAAACTTGGCAAGCAAATTGTTGAAGTAGGAACGTCAGTTATTATCAAATTAAGCGGTAAATCTGTTCTACTTTTCGTTTTAATAAATTATCTTGATTATCCTGATGTTTTACAAAATGGAACAGAACGAGAATGTGAATGTTGACACAGAATATCAAGACATGAGAATGTTTCACAGCTTGAGAAGCAAACGGATTTTTGATAAGTTTCTCAAAGCAAATATACATCAGTGTAACGTTCTGTATAACATACACACTTGATAATAATCGAATAAATAGGTCGAAAATTTGTGTTTTACTATTTTCACAGGCTTTTTAATAAAATTTTAATCATGTTGAAATAAGTTAAGGTATTACACCTGTAACTACGCTGAAATTTGTATTCAAGTTAGCAGAAATTCGTTTTTAGTACTGCTTTTATTTGTTAATATTTACCAAAGCTGGATAGGTCAAAAATGGCTCAAGTCAGATCTGACTTGACTTCAGACTGGAAAAGCTCTGACTTGCTTGACTCTGATATGTCCATTGTTCTTGGTTTATGTCTTTATCGATTCCTAATAAAAAAGGCCATCGGTTAAATGACCATTGTAGGCCTAGAAATCCATTGCTCTTCTTTCTCGGTGTGATATAAGTAAACAGTATTTTTGTCAAAGAAGACTTTTTATATTAGATAAAATCATCAACTATTTCTTTTCGATTTACACTAAAACATCTTAGTCGGGTTTTTTGTTTTCAATTTTATGTATTTGTTCTAATCAAAACATTAAAGATCATAACTAATATTAAACATCACCTGAATATTTTAAGAAAATTCTACTGTGATATTCGTAATCAGTAGAACAAATGTTGTTGACTGATATGATTTAAGTGATCTCTCTGTCCACATTTAACGAGAAAGAGAACAACTTAGATCAAACTTTATGCTAATCAACTAATTAATTAAGAGCCCATGTCATCAGAACCGCTAAAATACTGCCGGTCACCGCAGAGTATAATGGGAGGTTAACCTAATGGACATGTGAAATTACCGCACGGTCTACCGAACCGCGCGGTATACTGGTTGGTTGTACGGGCGATATCAACCGGTATTTTATCAGTGTGAGCAAACAGTACACGAGTTCGAATTTAGTTCTCAACTTTGTTTTTTTTTTGCAGTACGCATGCAGCGCAATGAGGTTTCCGAACGGGAAAAACTTGACTCAAGTCAAAGTGCAAACTTCGACGAGTCTCTATAATCTGAAAGAGAAAGTTTAATCTGAAAAAAAATCAAGGTTTTTTGACTTTTCTGCATTTCTTCTATAGACTGACAACCGCAAAACAAAAAGGTGATTGTGTCAAAACGGTTTACCGACAGTTTTTTCTTGTACCGCGGTCTGAAAACTACCGTGCGGTAACCGCCGGTAGAAGAAAAAACCGTCGCTGAACCGGTCATTGTACCGAACGGTACGGTTAACCAGCGGTAATCTATAGACTGGTCGGTAACCGGCGGTATTACGAAAGAGAGTGCCACATGGGAATCTAAATAAATTTTAATCTGAAAAAAAATCAAGTTTCCTTCATTTTTCGGTGGTGCTTATATGTAATGGTTTTTGCAAAACAAAACGGTGATTGTAAAAATTGGTTTACCGCTCGGTATATTGTTATACCGCGCGGTACACCAGGCGATTTAGCGACGGTTATTTTGTATACCGCGGTTAGAAAGAATAACCGTCGCGAAACCGCAGGGTATACCGAACGGTTCGGTCCAACCGGCGGTATTCTCAAAAAATGCGCGACATGGGAGGCTATTGGTAATGGGTAAAACTCCGTATTCCACATTTGTGCCAGCAAGTCCTTCATTAAACTATCTTGATTATTGTTGCTCCTTATGGTTGTTATTTTAATTACTCTTGCTTATATCCAACTTCATTAGACTGTGAACTTAATGTCTTTGTTCTACTTGCCGCCTCGGTTTTGCTTGAATGAGATAGAGGAGAGTAAATGGGTTAGGAAGAAAAACTCGTATACACACGGATTTATACTGACATTAAGTCAGAGAAACAGTTAATCAGCGATTGCAAAGAACCGGCCATCTGCTTAGTAAGACAGTTGGCTTTGCTATCTGATACTTCAGGCTGCTCCGTGCAAGGTATTTATTGAAGAATGATGTACTTGACCTTCTCGCTGCTACGCGCTGCTCATGTAGGTCCAGTACCCATATAATATTTTATTATACAATTTATTTGCGTCTTCTCTATTTGCCGTCTTAAAGTATCGTACCTGTTTCGCTGATATTTATTATATATTATTATAGAGACTGATATTTAATTTTAATATAATTTTATGATTAACTATGATTGTCTAACCGAGAAGGCCGATTCAAAGCTAATGAAAAGCACGACATGTTAAAGTTGTTCTGTCTCCTCACTGAATTAAATTCTATTTGAGAGTTTAGTAGTTGGTCGATTATTGAACGAAATTTTGGATCTAACAATACTTGAGCATAATCAGCAAATAATTCAAATTTATCGATTAGTACTAAAATCGTTGCCATTTAAAAAATGCATATGTGATTGTACCTTCTCTAATCTGTCTGTCGTTTGCCCGTTTATTTTTACAGAAGAAAATACGTCATAGAAAGATATGGATGAATTCTATTTCGATAAATATATACATCTTTTCAGTATTTTGTTATTGCAAAGGTCATCAAAGTTTGAGGTGACAGCAATGTTGAAGTGTTGATAATTAACTTCATTCAATGAATCAGGAAGATTTTTCTGTTAAAAAACAACCGCTCTGTTTGTGACTATTTTATTTTTCAGAAGTGTCAAACGAACGACAGTGTGTTGGTATGAAAATTGCTAGAACTACTAGCTTAAAAATATATTTAGTGTCTTGTACTTAAGTAGTTTTATTCACTGAGAGAAAAACAAGAAACATTGCTAAAATTTTATAATAATAAAACAACAAAAAGAAACAACAATAGTCATAAGAGTTTTTCGAAAGAGTAACAATAATATAATAACACTAAATTTTCTCTATATATCTGCGCAGTCGAGAGTAAAAACAACCGATACAGTGGAAATGAAGGAGAAAAAAGATATCGTCTATTATCTCTGTACTGTCTCTGAAGCGCTTTTTGTTGTTGCCGAGGAAGAAAGCGAGAGTTCTAGATGCATAAAAAACAAACACAGAAAAGAATGTACACACTACTATACAAAAAGAGAGATGACGGTGACTAACACAATCCGGAATGACATCTGACTTCCTCTTAACAATGGAAAAAAGGCACCGGACGATGTTTCCTGTTTCACAAATTCTTGGCTGGACTGTCGAAATTTTTCTAAAAGTCTCTTAAACAACAAAATTCGGTTTATAGATCATCGTCGTGTCCACCATGTGGAGGGGGTGGTGCTTCTCCACCGGGACCTCCTGGACCTCCTGGACCACCAGCTCCACCGTATAATTTTGTCATAATAGGTGTAACAATTTCTTCAAGTTCCTTTTTATGTGCTTTTAATTCATCAACTTCAGCCTGTTGATTTGCTTCAATCCATTTAATTTGTTCATCAACAGCTTTTTCAACTTTTTCTTTATCTTCTGGCGATAATTTTCCGCCTAATTTTTCTTTATCAGCCAACTGAGTTTTCAAGGAATAAGCGTATGATTCTAATTCATTCTTAGCATCAACACGATCTTTAAATAAATACAAAGATAGTTAATTATTGTAGATAATTAGACAAAAATTTCGTACTCACCTTTAACTTTTTTATCTTCGTCAGCAAATTTTTCTGAATCTTTAATCATACGTTCAATTTCATCTGGTGACAAACGGTTTGTATTTGAATTAATGACAATATTATTTTTATTACCAGTGCCTTTATCTTCAGCTGTTACTTTCAAAATACCGTTGACATCGATTTCGAATGTAACTTCAATTTGAGGAACACCACCTAGAAAAGGGAATAGTGAATTTGATGAAGTATAACAATACTTTCTAACTTACGAGGTGAAGGTGGTATGCCAGTTAAATCAAATTTGCCAAGAACGTGATTGTCTTTTGTCATTGGTCGTTCACCTTCGAATACCTGAAATGGCAAATGATGTTAGTTTGTTTGGATAGATGAGCGCTTGTGGTGCTTACTTGGATGGTTACTGTAGGTTGATTGTCGGCAGCAGTTGAAAATATTTGTGATTTTTTCGTTGGTATGACCTATAAATAAGGAGATAAATAAAAAATTTTGCTGGTTATATTCGCTTTCAGGAAAGCTTACTGTATTTCTTGGAATAATTTTTGTCATAACACCACCAACAGTTTCAATACCCATTGTCAATGGATTAACATCCAACAATACTAAATCGCCGGTATTTTCTTCTCCCGATAGTACACCAGCTTGTACTGCAGCACCATAAGCTAAATAATAACAAAAAAAGATAATTGCCGCTAAAACTTTTTGTCGTTAAATTTATTTCTCTTACCAACAGCTTCATCTGGATTAATACCACGTGATGGTTCTTTGCCATCGAAAAATTCTTTGACAAGTTGTTGTACCTTTGGTATTCGAGTACTACCACCAACCAAAACAACTTCAACAATATCAGTTTTTTTCAAATCTGAATCTTCTAATACTTTCTGTACTGGTTTCATTGTCGAACGAAATAGATCCATATTTAGTTCTTCAAATTTAGCACGTGTTAAAGCTTCTGAAAAATCTTCATTATCAAAAAATGATTCAATTTCAATTTTTGTTTGATGTTGGCTTGACAATGTTCGTTTTGCTTTTTCAACTTCACGACGTAATTTTTGTACTGCACGATGATCTTTACGTACATCTTTGCCTGTTTTCTTTTTAAATATTTTGATAAAATGTTCCATAACGCGTTGATCAAAATCTTCACCACCTAAAGAAAGAAAAATGTAAATGATTCATACCATATGATGAGAAATAAAATAATAACAATCTTACCTAAATGAGTATCTCCATTAGTTGCAACGACTTCAAATACACCGTTATCGATTGTTAACAAAGAGACATCAAACGTGCCACCTCCCAAATCAAAGACCAATATATTCTTTTCACCTTCTTTTTTATCCAATCCATAAGCTATGGCAGCAGCTGTTGGTTCATTGATTATTCGCATTACGTTTAGGCCAGAGATTGTTCCAGCATCTTTTGTTGCCTAACAATGAAATGTAAGAATTAGTTTTTCATAGAATAAATCAGTGATTGAAAGCAAATGTCATTTACCTGTCGTTGTGCATCATTGAAATAAGCGGGGACTGTGACAACAGCATGCGTAACTTTTTTTCCTAAATATGCTTCAGCTATTTCACGCATCTTTCCCAATACCATAGCACTAATTTCTTCGGGAGCGAACATTTTTTCGGAATTACCGGTATTTATTTTAATGATAGGTTTACTATTTTTTTCTACAACTTGAAATGGAAAATGTTTTATATCCTGTTGTACCGTTGGATCACTGTATTCTCGTCCAATTAAACGTTTGACATCAAAAACTGTGTTTTCCGGATTTGATGTTAACTGATTTTTGGCTGCATCACCAATTAAACGTTCACCATCGGTTGTAAATGCAACATAAGATGGTGTGATACGATTTCCTTGGTCATTGGCAATAATTTCCACACGACCATGTTTAAAAATGCCGACGCACGAATATGTTGTTCCAAGATCAATACCAATGACGGTTCCGACATCCTCTTTTTTCTTCGCATCATCTGCTTTTGTGAAAACGAGAGTGGTCAATAGACACACGGAAAAAAATAGTATTTTTAACATTTTTCTTTAACACTACAACAAAATAAAAAACAAAATTACAATATCTAGACAAACGTTTCTCAAACAGCAAGGAGAAGAAATTAACTAGCAGATGTTCAGACTACAATAATAAGATTTTATTATCAGGTTGAAAGTGGTTAAGATAATCTAGCACCACTAAATAGTTCCAAAATCATAGGAAATTAAGAACCTTCGTCAGAAATACAAAGTTTTTATGGTAAGTCAATATTGAACTAAGTATACTATCATGTAGCATGTGATATCCACTAATAGGATCCGTGGCTATTTTGACTTCAAAAAAGAAGTATGAAGGGTTTTAGAAAAGATTTATGAGTCTTTGAAAGACTAACTTTTACAAAATTGTGCTTTTGCGATAAAGAACAAAATAAATTATATATTTCAATGACGCTAGTAAAATGAGACACCTCTCAATTCTCATAGGGTTTTAATTATACATTGCGAGTTTTACTAAAAAATTAAAAACATGCTTTCAATGTCGTTACCGGATTTTGTTAGCGATGTCCACCTTTACAACATTTCATACATGCAGACATTCTTTAGTAAATCAAATACTGAAGAGTTCGTCTTGCTCTTAAAATTAAGCTAACAGATATGACTATCACGTAAAAGAGCTGAGACTTGTCACAGCCATCTCATTTAGGTAGTTACTTGGCTTGAAACCATGTTTAGAATGAGCAATACTGTTAGTATTTACATCTTATTTTGTAGTCTAAACCTAGTCTAATCAGATTCTTAATCGAGAAGCTTTTGTAAAAAAAAGTTAGATTCTTACCTCTTTTTGCGATAAACGTTAATTAACAAAATTAATAAATAATAATTTTAATTGAAAAGTTTAAATTACCTAGAAACGCTAGTTATAAAAAGACGCTTAAATATCAACAACAATAATTTCGATTGAAAGAATGCTTCTTATTTATATAAACATGTATGGTTAGTAAGAGCGGAACGTGTAAGCATATCAAGTAGAAACTGAAATACAAACGTGGTTTTATAAATTCTGTTGTAACCTATCGTGGAATTTAGTCATTGGAGAAACAGTCCTATATTAGATATGTAAGCTTGTGATTTGTTCGTTTGATTAGCGAATAAAACAAAACCAAAGCATAGCAACGATTAAAAAATAACGATAGTGAGTGATTGAGGAGGTGTTATTGACATACTCATTAATGGTAGATATTTTTCTTATAGAAACGGACTTTTTTGAGTTATTATTCAGTGAAACTAACCGCAGATGAACCTTACTTGTTTGTCAACAAACATGATGCAAGTGACAATCATATTACATAAACCTTTCTCTAAAGGTTTACGATATTGTTACAAACGATGCTTGATTTAAAAAAATAATGTGTGTATTGTGTATCATCAGTTCCCTCAAGACAATGCTAAATTTTGTTCACAGAACAGTAGATATTTTTTTATTGGAAAGGTTTCAAAATTTATTTCAAGTCTAAAAGTATTTGTTATATAGTTAGTTAGTTCATTTGAAACCTTGTCTACTTTGTTGAAAAGTCTACTTTTTTCCTCGCATGTTAGTATATCAAGATACCTAACATGTACTATTATAAGCGCTTAGACAAAGCAAAAGTTATCCATAGATGAATTTTAAAATTGTCCGTTTGCTTTCAAGTAATTTATCAACTAATGTCATTCTAGAACTGAATGAGAAAAAAATAAAATCAGTAGCCCATGACTGTTTGATTTATAAATAAGACTAATTGTTGTTTTTCGTTATATGGGAGATAAAATAACCTTGTTATAGCTTTTTTAGGGCTGAAATCCTATGAAATGGTACAGTATAATCGAAATCGCATACTGAATTACTTCTTGACTATGTAATTAATGCAAATTAATAAAAATATTTTTTAATTAATAGATATATCGGAAGAGATAGTAATTAATACTAATAGATTTATTTCAGCTGATATCTATTCAACTTTGTGAGATAAATAATGAAATAATAAAACATTAAATGTATAATCAAAATTTTGTACAATACGTAGTCGATACCTGCTGTGGTACAAAGATGCGACATGTGTTTATAGGATATGTAATAAATGATGAAAACAATACTAACATATCGTTTTCTAATGGGGAGCAGGGTGAGGTTTTTAATTCCAAGATCAACAGTTCTCGCAATCTCAACTTATTCTCTATCAAATATGACAGACAATACTCGAAGAAGTATAGTAGCAACGTACATGTCTTAAATATTTCTTTTTGTATCACAAATCTCGGTTGAAAAATACTTAGACTATAGTGATCGTTTCCTACGCAAAATTTTGTCAATAAGTCGCTGCTGTCTCTGTTTGTCTTAGCCAAACAAACTAGTTCCCTCTAAACTAGTTTCACAGCATGACTGAATGATTTCCGAATTAGATATTCATAGTACACACAATTTGAAGCATGGATACGAGAGCTAAGTAAATGTTTTATACTGACTTTAGCATTATTCACAAAATGTACGTTGTACGATTAACGCTATTTTAAAACATAATGTACAAACGGTCATGAAGACAACTGAATAATATAAGAAATGCCAAGTTTAAGCTCGTTTACAAAAATATATTTGTGAACATTTTTATATTAACAGGTCCGATCCGTAAGGGTATTTAGTATAGTAAATAGATATGATAAAAGAGATCAATGATAACTGGACACACAGAAACTTTTCAGTCATTCGGTTTGAGGTTAGAGGTACAATTAATCAATTTTTGATTGAACAGTTTCAACTCTATTATCGTAAAAAATAAACAGTTTGTCATATCGGATTCATTTCTCTAGTTTATACAGATTTTTTTCTCACATAAATTTATTTTCTTGTCCAAGCCAAGAGCATAATGATACTAACTGGTTGAAACATGATACTAATTTCTGAACGTACTTTATATGAAGTTGTTCTTCGGTGTTGAAAAAAGTGCATAGTAGCTTGTTTTATCTAGTGTATAATCGAAATCCCATGAAAAGACATCATATTGCTGAGAAACATATACAATGTCAAACTAACATTGTCACTTATGATTAAGATGAAGAATTATCATCTGAAATTATCCTTATTCATCATATTTCAAGATCTATAATCAATATTTTATGAGAGGAATATATTTTCATAAAAAACTGTTGTTATTCATATACAAGTGTTGTATGTATGGTAAAGATAAATCAAATCCAGGATAATTTATAATATTCCTCGGAACAATTAAAATAGTACACATTTTACGCTCATTTTGTTTTTTCCTAGAAGAAATAAAAATAACAATTACTCCTATAGGAATATTTTAAATTTTTCTATCAAACAAGTTCGATCACTCTATTTTAATCTTTATTATAGGAAAAAAATAAAATTTTTCAATATTAAAGGGTAAGATCACGAAAATTTGGTGAATGATCTTTCGTATTTAATATCCATTTTTATTCATCGTCAGGCACACTATGCATATCTCTCAAATCCGTTTGAAGTCTTGTTAGATATCCAACAGGAATAATCGGTTTATATTAAAAATAACGACTACAAGACAAACAAATACGAATAAATAATATCAAATATCAGCCAAGAATTTTGAAAAAGTTTGATTATACATTGTGAGATGAACATTTTTACAGCTTCTATCGGCATCCACAAACTACTCTTTCTCCTAAATAAGATGACATTCCCAATCCGTAGCCAAAATAGTTTGAAATTGTTTACCTCTTTTCATGTAATATTGTAACCGCGGTGGACAACTCCCCCCCCCCTCATGGCATTCTTTTATTTTTTTATATAAATTTTCATATGTAATAACTAGATGGTTTAATATAATATTATAAACAACTTTTGTGTACCGATTTCAACAATTCTAAAATGCTTCTTAGTCCAAAACTTAAATCGTGCATTTCCACTTCCATCATGTAATGTTAATAAGACATCATCATACACACTGATTGTTTTATAACAAACTTTCTCGAGTGAAACTTTTCTTTTAAGTTAAAGGATATGAGCGACAAGTTTACCGTAAAGAAGATCCATTTTAAACTGAAAACATGACTTCCGTCTACTTTAAAATGCGTCTATTGTTGTTCATCTTATATAGAAAAGAAAAATTTTAGTTTTTTCCTATAGTAAGGATTAAAATAGAGTAATCGAACTCATTTTGTTTTTAGAATGTAGGAACCACTGATACTACTAATAAAAGCGATCAAGATCATATGAATCGCAAAATGTTTTTAAAAAGATTTCCAGCTTGGATATTACGAATTTCTAAAGCAAAATCTTTACAGAAAGGTTGAACTCTTCTCTAATTCCTCTTGTTTTGAAATTTGAAATTGTAAGCTATAATCAGAATCATAATAATGATAAAAATGTAAACTTCACCTTATAAGGAGAATGCGGATTAATCCTGAGATTAATCTAATTACGTATAAATATAGTTTCAAAAAGAATTCATGGGGTCAAATGTTCAGTTATTGATGACGATGAATAAACTCTTGAATTAAATGACGCACTATTCTTTCATTCTATTCTACTATACGGAATTAGAGCTTAATGTGATTTAAATGGCGTCTTTTTTCGTTAATATAGACAACTTACTTACCGATACTTGTTGTGTTGTTTTCGCCTTTAAGCCTAGGGTATATGTCAAAATTTATTTTTGATTTTTATAAAATTTCGATTAAAAACAATGATATTTGTATTATAGTTAATAAAAATGAAATGCATAAAAACGTATTTAACAATGTACAAAATCCGCGATATTTTGTCAAGGATTAGTATCAAAAAATTCCCGAGTCATTCAGAAATTAGCTATATACTTAAAGCTATTATTATATAAAAAAACAAAGATAGTAAGTTTAAACTGATTACAACAGCATTTTTTCATACCTGTTCTACAAAGTATGACATCAGATTTTGCTCAGAACTATTGCAAATGTGCTTCAACAGTATTTTCTCTTTGTTAAATAGTTATTGTCACCGAAAATGCGATGTGTAATTATTACGCTTTTTACTGTTTGCTGTTGCATGGGTCAGCTTTATTATCCTCCATATGATCCACAACTGTTATACAATAATAGATATCCGTTTTATAATTATGCAAATCAATTAGGATCACCATTCAGTTACCAACCAAACTCAAGTAGGTACAATTACCACTATCACTTTGTGTTCCGTCTATCTTATTATTCTGCTTGTTCCAGTGCGTTCAGTATTACAGGGTTTATTATCGTGCGATGATACAATGCCAATTCCCTATGGATCTCGAGTAACAATATCGCTAGAGGATGTTTCATATATCGATGCACCACCTCGAGCTGTCAATCAGGTGTATATGTATGGTTCATATCGCTTTCCCATTGCTTATGAATTATCTTATGAAAATACTCAGATAAATCCTTATAATCAATACAGTATGAATGTTCGTATAGAAAAAGATGGTAATTTATTGTACGTGAATGATGGTTACACGAGTGTCAAACTGACGCCAACACCTGTTAAGAGGCGAATTAATATAACTTTGAAGAAACTTGGTAAAATAAACCCAAAGATAGTTCAAAGTGTTCAAGATATATAAAATGGACTGACTCGTTGTTGCTTTAGGTACATCAGCATCTGTAAATAATGTCAATTCTTCTCAATGTGAACAATCTGTAGATGTTGGACTTTGTAAAGCTAGTATTCTCCAATGGTATTTTAACAATAATAATCGTTCGTGTTCGACTTTTTATTGGGGCGGCTGTGGCGGTAACTCTAATCGCTTTCGAACAAAACACGATTGCGAGAAACAATGTTCCCTTTTTTGAGATCACGTTTTTGTGATCACGTTTTTGTTGCTGTATGATAGTATTTACGAAATAAAATAGAAATATGTACATGGAATCAAATTTACTTTCTTTTTCTTACTGGCTTGACGAAAGTCAGAATCTTACGAAATAACAGTCTGGTCACATAGAAACGTAAGGTGCCCGCAATTCAAAAATGCAGCACTATCTTAACTTTCGGTCGAAAGCTACATATTCAGATACTCCTGAATGCGCTGATTCCGAATATCACCTTTTTATTCGAATTTGATCAAGTTTTTGTGGAGAAATTCTCAAAATACTAAGAACACCGAGA